GGCACTCCTCCGGCTTCTTCTGGGAAGGAGCCACTTGATTTACGATTATGGCATGTGCGGGCAAGCGTTAAGTTGTGGAAATGCGAAAATGGAAAGGCGCAGGCAAATAAAGTGAGCAGGAAGGCCACTACTCTTGGGCTGACGACAGCGTGGAAATACTATACACAAATACACTAATAGAAAATAAGGAATTGCAATGGTAAAATGCCAATGCGAAATGCAGTCAATTGAAATGCAGAGACGCTCCTCCCCCTTCCAGAGGATGTGGAAGTCAGTCACAACTCGAAGTCAAAGGCGAAAAGAAAAACTACTACTGCCAGGCAAATTGGCTATGCAAACTGTGCAAAATGGCTGCTTCAGCGAGCAGCGACAAACAAGAGGGTAAAACGAACAGGAAAAGGGAGGAGAGTTTTCCCCGCTTTCCTTTTTTAGTTTTCTTTGGGGCAAACCCACGTCCCCTTCAAGTATTGACAACATCGTCAAAGATGGAAAGCGGAAACGAGGGCCAAGTCGCTGGTCGCTGTTCGCTATTCGAATTGAAAACTGTTGAAGTCGTCGCCTGTAGTTGCACTTTAGATTTATTGATTGTCTCAGTGCGTTGCTGGCCTTGGCGTGTCCAAATGTGTTCGGCAGTCCTTCGAAGTCCTTTCCGGTCCTTCCTGGCTTATTGCTGTTGAAAAAACTTGCACAAGCACCGACAACAATGCTGATGATGACAGCCAGCACTGCCGGACTCGTTTGTCCCCCTTCAATTTTTTGTTTTTTAAACCAGTGTCCTACACGTCCTCGAGAGGAACGCACTTTTTTTTGTACAAAAATACACAGGAAATCGAAACAAATATAAGTACATATATATTTATTTCCTTTTACATGTTTGTATTTGACAAACTTATGTTTTACTATTAATCTTTGATTTTTTATAGGGAAGCTCAAACTGAAATACTTTTTGTTAAACGAAAAATTACATTATTATAATAGATATTTTATTATTCCTTTATAAAATGTTGTTTCTTTTGATAGTTGTATTTTAAACAAATAATTAATAATTCTGCAGAAAATACTTTTAATTATTTATTAATATATAAATCAAAATATTAGTATGCGATATTATATATCGTATCATCGATATATCGGACCAAAAAACGAACTGTATAACATTTTCGTTATTTTGCGATACCTTGAAATATTTTCCGATATAATAAGACCGTAGCTTATCATGTTTGCTATTAAGCACTAACATTTTTTCTAACTCAAGGCTTAAGAGTGTTTATTCAAGCTTAAAGTTTGTTCTTTTTAATACGATTAAATTTTCCCAGTTCTGTATTTATTTACCACTTTTTTTGTTCTGTTCCCGGTTGAAAAGAATTTTCCTTTTTTTACACATTTATGCACTCGACTCGACTGTTCTTGCAGTGGCTTTGATTTAATTTTTTCCTTTTTTAAAGCTCTCGACGCGTAAACTTTCTGCAGTGCAATGCGGATTGAAATTCTTTTGTGTTTACAGCGGAATTTCTTCTTTATTTTCTTTCATTACATATTATTTGCCACTGCTGGCAGCTATTGGTGGCCAGAAGCACCAGGGAAAAGCACCCTGCTCTCTCGGAGTTGATTTACCTTTAAAGCATCGCTCATACGCCCCGTAAGCCATAAAAAAAGATGCGGAATTTAATATTTTTAATTACGCTCATTTTAGCTTACTTTTTCATGTTTACATTTCAATAAATTTCCACTCGGGCTTCATCAGCCCTTTCATCATTTTTCACCCATTTTCTTTTCTCTCTTCTGCTCCTGCTCCTTGCTCCTGCTCGGTGCTCTTGTCATCATCAACACTCTTTTAGCTGTTGCTCCTGCTTCCTGGCAGGACCTTCCACCGATCCCACAGCTCACGCTGCTCGACTAACGAATTTGGTGGCGCATAATGAGTTTTTGTTTCCGTCAGCTTAAGTTCCCCAGGAAGCTGGAGCTGGAGCTGGAGCTGGCAACAACAATTACCATTGCCATTTAATTAAAAATTGCAGAATAATTATTTTTCTTTTTCGCTCGTTCGCGCTCCTTGTTTTCTTTTGGCTCTCTCCGCCTTCCCACGCTCGTTCTTCCGCGAGGAAAAACTTTTAAATAAACAAAAGGCGCGCCCTCTGCAATTTGAAAATCTGCAAATTAGCACAAATGCAGCTTGTGGATGGATTGAGGGGAGGATTATGGAGACTTGAGGAAAGATTGAAGGTGCATCAAGTGGGGGAAGTGGGAGGAAAAATGGGTTAAGGGGAAACTGGCAACTAGAAAACGGAAAACAGGCCAACGGGAAGCTCTTCCCCACTCTTTCCCTCTATCCCTCTGTGAATAAAGGGAAATGCAGCGACAAAGTGAAGTTTTCAATTACATTAAATCCGCTGCGCAAAGTTATCGTCACGCACAGTTGACAATTTATTTGTTCGCCGACTAGTTTCCTGCGCTGCTACAACCAACACGTTCTTGGCCCGCACAAATGTCAGTTTAAGAGCTTTGTTCAAATGCGTTAATAAAATATTTTTGCACCTTTTTTTTCATTTTGTTCCAACCCACACACGGCTCAACATCATTATCGTCTTCGGTTCTAGAGGAAAAGTTTCCTCCAGTTGTTGCTACAGGTGTTTCCTGACACACATCGCGTATGCGCAACTTTTGGGCCTACCCAGAAAAGTTTTTCCACAACTTTGGCTTTAATTCCTCCCCCCAAAAAAAGAAAAAGAAGAGAAACTTAAATAAGGTTTTTGGGGAAAATGATTACAGTTCGTTTTGGGTTCAGTTTCAGTTTCAGTTTGCGCGTGAAACGCTGACAAATGCTGTCAATATATCAACAGTAAACCGTAAATGATGAGACCATTTATATTGGTGCAGCAAGAGGAGTTGCAACAAAGCGAACTCGGTAGCTGCCACTGCAGCACAGGTACACTGATAGAAAGGGATCAAAATTATAGTATTCAAAAGTAGACAAGAGAGTAAAAAGAAGGGAAATTTACTTTATGAACTTTAGGGTATTTGCTTTAAAGTGATGATTTTGTTCTTGCTCTTCGTATTACTTTTCCCTCTTTTTAAAAGCATCTACTAAATAATTTCCATTCCAAGTTAACTACAATTATTTATGTTAATTGAGGCAGCTGCTTCACTGATTTATTCAAGTGCAGTTTTGCGTGCTGCCTCTGTGGCAGGCAATAAGTTGAAAACCGAGACAGCCGAGACAGCGTCAGCATTCAAGAATCCAGCTTAAGTAGCTGTTGGTGGCTGCAGCCAGCTCTTGATCCTGATCCTGCTCCTGCTCCTGCTCCTGCCTCAACCTGCCACTTGATGTATATTTCGGCAACATTATACCCAAACGCTTAATGCTTTATGCTTATTTTGGGGCGCTGAAGAGGTTTGTTGGAAATTTATTTTCTGCCTTGGCAGCAGGATAAAGTTGTCTAGCTCAGCCTGTTTCCGGTTGCAACTCCCTCGCCTGCGGCTTATGATAAACTGGGCTGCACTTAAGCTCCTTCGCATGCGAGTGCAGAGCTATGTGCTCGTATTTACAGTTGCCTCTCCTGCAATTCAATTTGGTTATAAGGGGTGTGTGTGCCAGGGTAAGCTGCTTAAAACTTAAATAAATATCGTTTGTGACCGTGCCAGATATACGTCTATATATACTAGATGTACTGCATTTTATTATAAATTGCTAGTCAATTTCTTAACCGGCCAGCAGAGGCAAAAGGGACCTAAAGTTGACCAGCTGATGTCGAGCAGGGATTTCCGCAACACTTGGAGAAATTCCAAAGAATAAAGCATAACTTTAAGTTTTGTTGAAATTCCTGATAAATAATTAAAACGTGAAAATCCCGCCTGGCTTTCAGTATTTCAAGGAAAAATCTCACCTTCCAAGTATCCATAACAGTTAACGGATTTTCAGAATTTCATTTAGGATCTGTGCAAGTTCCAGGAATCAGCACCATCAGGTGCCATTTCCTGAATTCATTATTTAACCTTGCTTCAATGCGATTGCGATGTAATTTTCAATTTCCCGCGGCATTTTCCCTGCGTGCAGAAATATGCATTTTCCAGAACTGGGATTGAGGTGAGCCATAAGCAGTGGCGGTAACAACGGGACAAAAGCTTTTCATTATGCACGCCACTCGCCGGCGAACAACGCCAACGAACAGCAGCTCAAAAAGGGCAAAAGCTGCTCCGCGGAAAATCCCTTCGCGAACCCAACAACTTCCCAGCCGTCAAGTGCACTTTTTTGTATGCCTTTCATCAAAACACTTAATTTGCATAATTTTTGTGAAGAGAGAGTGAGTGAGTGGGTTGGCTGTCCGCCAGAAAGCATCAAGAGCAGAAAGTATGAGACGATTTAATTCCAGCAGCTTTAATAAAATGCAATTGCAACTACCTGGGAAACTTTTTCATGGCTGTGATGGAGCAAAAAGGAAGCCCCTTTGTGGCCTGGTAATCTAATACTTTTGCTTCATTTACCATTATGAAATTTCGTGCACTTTGCATTTTCCCCACATTGTAAATGCTGCCTGGAAAGAAAAGGAACCCAGACAAGAACACTTTTCTTTTGGAGGCGGTAGCAGAATGCATTTTCTACTAAATCAGCCTAATGCACTCACGCTATCAGGCCGAAAAAATATGGCCCAAAGCAACAAGCCAATGGGATGAAAAATCCGGCAAAAATGTTGCAGAAAGGCAACGGATGTTATGCAATAAATTTAATCTGACCAGCGATAGTTGAGGTAACTAGCTAAAGTTAATGCCTTCCACAAGCTCGAACAAAAAGCCAGAACCAGCCAGAGGGAAAGTTCAAGTTCGATAAGAGGTTCAATGATTGAGAAAATTAAACGTGCTATGTTATATCAGCTAGAGCTAAATTAAATGAAAGCCAGTTAAGGGATCAGAGCCAAGAGATAAGATTTATTAAGATTTGAGCCATAATGTATAATTAACCTTCACCCTTGTTTATTTATTTTTTGTGTTTGTTTTCGTTGCAGCTAAGCGATGACATTGGCTACGTGCTGTACTCGGCACTGGGCTCCTTCTACATCCCGAGCTGCATTATGGTCTTTGTGTACATACGAATTTACTTTGCCGCCAAGGCGAGGGCGAGGAGAGGCATTAAAAAGCATCCCCGCAAAACGAACAACGAACAGGTGAGTGTGGCGATTATTTATGAATTTTGACCTCATTCAATGGGAGTGTGTAATGAACTTTGATGAAAGCATTCCCCAAACTCAGATTTACACACACTTTTCCTGGTGGAGGTGGTATTAATGCGGTTCACCGCAAAAATGTGCCAGCATTGTAAATGGGAAATTGTACGTTTCAATGAACAAATGTAATTTTTCTAAACCAATATGCACAGAAAGAAAAGTATTTTATATACATTTCTATTCATTAAATAAATAATAACACTTTATAATCCCTTTAACCTTTTTTAAGTAAACATTCCTTCATAATAAACATTATTATAACCCTTTCAAAACTTTTCAAAAATAGTTTTCTTTGCACCTTCTGATACTCTATCAAATCCTCTTTCAATTTCTATTATATTAACATCAAAATCCTCTCAACTGAATACCTTTTTTTTGGTCTATGTGTGAGTGTGTGCAAATGTAATATTGGAACACCTTTCACCCTTGGCCCAAAAAGTAATTGTGCATTACGCCAGGAAGCTGCAAATTGAGCACACATGCTTCGCTTCAATTTCCCATCAACAACTTGTGGGTTACGTGTCGGATTTTCATCCCACCCGCCAGCCATCAACCTCCATTTCTCCCATCAGGAATTGCTGTTTGCCAACCTTGCAATTTTGGCCGATGCACCAGTTGGCCACGTTAGCAGGAGCGCACCCATTATGCAGGGCCATTCAATGGAATGGCATTTGCTGACTCCACACACACTCTGGCACACACCCACTCTTAACGGGCTTTGTTGGGGAAATTATCGCTGAAAATTTAATCGAAACTCCGCCCCGAAATCCACTGATTGAGTGAAAAGTCTCTAATGATCGTCAATTACCTGCCGCAACGAGTCCAATTCATACGCAATTTGCATTTTCAATTAACTGTATGCGCAATGCACACAGACACTACAGTCGAGAAAAATGAGGAAAAGCGGTGGAAAACACTGCCGTGCCGTGTCTGGACCAACGCTGGCAGTATCAGCGACACTTCTCGACCATTTTGTGCAAACAAATTCAAGAGCAGCGGCCCAAACGAGCGATTAACGGCCAACAGCAGCGGGCTGAAACTGCAGAGGGGAAAAAACAAGCAGAGACAGTGGCCATTGAGGATGGGAAAACTGTGGAAAAGCAGGGAAATACAGAGGGGAGATTCCCACATTCCCATATGCTGATGGCTAGCCTCGGCATGGAGCATTGTTTTTAATACTCTTTAACCAGGCAGGGAATGTTGGATTTTCAAAAAGAAATAGTAAAGCAATTTAAAATTTATTAAAAATAAATTAAAGGAAAAGTATAAAACAAAATAAGTGGAAACAGGTCAATTTAAAACATACATTAGCTTTAACTAAATTGTTCCTGGAAATGACCAATTTTAAGGAAATTACCCATTAACAGGGAAGGAAATTAACTTTAAGAAGCCGAAGTTTTTATATTCTTGCAGTTTGAAATTGAATTATAGTATCGTAACGGTCATCGTAATTAGTAATAAAATATTTGCATTATTTGAATTGATTTTTAACGACATTTTTATATGACAATTTAGTCTACAAAAAAACCATAACTAACTCAATAAAGCATTAATTCCAATTCGGAAAGCTGTCCTATGTTAGTTTTAATTAGGTTAATAAATTTGCATACTAAATTTAAGAGTTTTAAAAACAAAAATTTTTAATAATTTTTCGAATTGCGAACAATGTCAATTTTACCCACAAAAGCTTGAAAAAAATTTCGAAATTTTTTTTTCCTACCGGACATATTTTAATCGATTCGGCTGTTGATGCTGATCAAGAATATATATGATTTATAGGGTCGGAAATGACTCTTTTAATGTTTTTCAAGCTTCTGACTAAAATCATAATACCCTGCAAGGGCTTAAAAATAAATACAGACCAATGAAAGTTTAAAAATCTCATAATTTAGCCAAATATGAATTGACTTCAATTAGGAAAGCGGTTCTATGTTAGTTTTAATTAGGTTAATAAATCTGCATACTAAATTAAACATTTTAAAAAACTTAAATTTTTATCAATTTTCAATCTTTGATCAATATAAATTTTACCCAAAAAAATTTGAAAAAAATACCGAAAAAAATTTTTCCTTCCAGAAATGTCTAGATCGATTCGACTGTTGATTCTGATCAAGAATATATATAATTTATGGGGTCGGAAATGACTCTTTCACAGAAATAAAATTAAAATACCCTGCAAAAGTATAAAATATAAAAAGAAGGGGTACTAAACGAAGCGATTCATTTTGCAAACTGTCATTATTTTCATTTTTCGGACTCGCTCTTTCTCTTTGTGTGTCTCTGTTAATTGCCCGGGGTAATTGTTGCTGCTTTTCGGGCATTGAATATGCACAAACCCCTCGCCCCCCTTTTAAGAGTGTTCAAAACCCCCCTTTTTCACCCCTTTTTCACCCCTCGAGCGGCAAAAGTTCTCGCTCCATGTTTGTGTAATCCGCGCGCTCGGACGCGTCTCTCCCGCTTGTTGGCTTAAACAGGATTTTCGAAATGGAAAACTGTTGTAGCAAGTGTTGGGCCATCTGTCCACGAATTCGGCTGCAACTGGCACGAGTGCAGATCTGGGAACCTAATTTGCAATGCCAGAGCACATGAGAGACGAGGGTTAATCACACTGCAGAGCTCCAAGGCACTGTGTGCCTTGAGCAATCTCACCAGAAACTGATTTATCACCTGGAAAATATCATAGCATCCCAAGAAAGCATATTTTTTCCACATCTTTATAGAGTATATTTAAGGAAAATTAAGGAATTTTTCAACCATTGAATAAAAATAATATATATAATAATATTTAAACCATAAAGCCCACTTGCGACTGCCGCCTGTAGTTCCCCTCTTTTTTCGTTCCACTAATGAGTGTTTACCTTTTTTCGTCTTTTTCCCCCAGGTAACGAGCTTCACCACCGCCAACAAGAAAGGTACAATACCGATGCCCTCCTCCAGCGGCGCGGCCGCCCTGCAGCTGCACCAGCAGCGACAGATAGCCACCATTGAGACGCCGCCGAACAGTGCCACGCTGCCCATGCAAATACCCACGGTGACCATGGACCTGGCCTCCGACATCTCCACCTCGGAGGCCGGCGAATTGGAGGCAGTGGCGGCACAGACAGTGCTGGCCTATTCCAATCCCAATGGGGCGGGCACAAATGCGACGGCGGTCACTGTGGTGGCCAGCGGGAATGGTGGAGCAGGTGCACCCACCTCACCCAAGGAGACGTTGCAGGTGAGCACAATAGCCACCGGTCGGGTGGGTCTCAATGTGCCCGTCCCGCCATCCATGGGCAGCAACAACAGCATTAATGCGCTGAACAACAACAACGGCAGCGTGGTGGCCACAGATACCGCTGCAGCGGTGACTGCCAGTGGTAATGGCGGTAATGGAAGTGCCGGCGGAGCCGTTGGACCGGCAACGCCGGGCAACGAGCTGCGCGTCTCACCGATCGCCGGACGGTGTCGAGCTTTATCCGTGGGCGTGGACACGGACATGGTGAGTGAATTTGATCCCTCCAGCAGCGATTCGGGCGTGGTCAGTCGCTGTGCCGTGGTCAAGCCGCTCAAGTTTCGCCTTTGCCAGCCGATCTTTGGGCGCAAGTCCAATCAGCAGCGTCGCAACGAGGCCAAAACGGCGGCCAAGAATCAGCAGCAGACGAGCAAAAACCAACAGCAGCAGCAGCAGCAGCAGCAACAGCAGCATCAGCAGCAGGTGGTGAAGGCGGAACTGGAGCCGGCCATACCAAAGACACCGAAGCCCCGGGATCCGGAGAAGGAGAAACGTCGGATTGCAAGGAAAAAGGAGAAGCGGGCCACGCTGATCCTGGGCCTAATCATGGGCAGCTTCATTGCCTGCTGGCTGCCGTTCTTCTTTCTCTACATCCTGGTGCCGGCCTGCGGTGACCTCTGCCACGTACCAGACTCGGCTTTCGCGATCGCCTTCTGGCTGGGCTACATGAACTCGGCCCTCAATCCGGCCATCTACACCATCTTCAACAAGGACTTCCGTCGAGCCTTCCGGCGCATCCTGTTCAAGTGATGTTTGGCCTACGTGTGCTGTTACAGGTGCGTTTACGCCAGCATCGAGAAGGCAACCGAACGTGCCATGGGCAGCACACCCATGGGCTATGGTCATGGCATGTATCAGCACTACAGGCGTTAGATTTGCTTCGTATTGGTATAGAGTCCTGGATAACCTATTGATTTTTTCCTATCCCTAGTTCCTATAAACCATTTCCTTTCCCAGAGGTTATAAAACTATAGATGGTTTTATCAAAGATTCTTGGTTTGCTTTCAATACAAAAAGTATCTATATAAGTACTTTGCTTTAAAAAATTAGTAAAACAAAAGCTTTAAATATTATTATTTATCATTTTTTCAATGATAACGATATACATTGATTATATTCCGATATAAAAACCATCGATAGCTCTATCCTCAACCATTCCCTTACCATTTTCCCCACTCTTTCTTTGAATTTTCTGTTTGAATTTAGAAAAAAAAGTAACGAACATTGTAGCTCATTTCAAAAGCAATGAACGGCTGTGAATTTGATGGAATCTCTCAATTTCAATTTACGCATTTTGGTTTCTTTTCGTTTGGTTTCGGTCCTCAAGCACCCTTGAACCCTTGAGCCCGCCCCAATCCTGTTGGCCTGTGTAACCCGGTAACCTCATAGACCTTCCGCCCGACAGCCCGCACACTTTTCACACTCGACGAGGAGGAGCTCATAGAAATGCATGAGCTGTGCAAACAAGAATCTGAGCTGGGCAAACATCTATTATGCTCCCTGAATGGCGGGGGATGTGTCCGCCTGCGACGTCTATGGCCATTCAACTTGAAATAATTTCGCAAATTTCCATTTGCGGCTGCATTGCCAATGCCAAGCACTTTTGTCCCACTGCAGTTGGTGGTGGAACCGAAATCGGTTCGCTCCTCTCCATTGTTGTGGCTTGGCAATCAAAATCGAGGTCAACAAGTGAGCGAAAATTAACTTAATTCCATTTTAAAACTCCTGGCAACGACTTATTCCATTCGTTCGCTGAATCTATGCGGATTTGGGGCGCCGTCAATTGCGAAGCTGCATTTTGGCCTGGGGCCAGATCAATATTTTCTTGTTCACATAAATGTAAGTGTACATATAATCCAGCACACAATTTGGTGTAACTAAGTGAGCCAGCACCCAGATATAGATACGGATACCGACAGAAATACATTTACAGATACTGAAACAGCGACAGATTCCTCTACAAGGCAGCTGCAGTTTATTCATTCACTCAAAGATATTTCACTCAGCGACACAGAAAGTGGGAGCCCCCAAAAAATAAACCAAATGTATGGGAACCGATGCCTAATGGGCACACACAAATGCAAATGCAAATGGTTTGGCTTATACACTAAAAGAAAAACAATAGACTAAAGTTTTGAGAGATGAAAATTTCGATATATCAACGTTTACGATATTTTTGAGCACAATACTGTTGTCTATAAATCGGATTCTACCTATCGATATGCATCGATAATTAATCGATGTCAAATCTAAAATCATTTAAATATTTTATTTTATAATAGACTTAACTGTAGAGAGATGAAAATTTCGATATATCAAAGTTTACGATATTTTTGAGCACAATACTGTTATCTTTATATCGGATTCTACCTATCGATATGCATCGATAATTAATCGATGTCAAATGTTATTTTACCTCTGCATTTTGTAATCCCCTTTGGAAACATTTAGTAAAAAAATAAACCTATTTCTTCAAGTGCTCCGCATTCGCTTTCACCATTTTCTCCACCATTTCCCACTTTAGTTTTTGGGCTATGCATCAGCAAATGCATGTGCCCGGCCGAGTGGAATAGACAGCCCGTCATTCAGTCAGTCAGTCATTCATTCAGTCAGTCGAACGGACAGGAAAGACAGTCGTCACTGGAACGCTACAATGACACTGAGTTAGACGAAGACAGAGGCTGCGAGGGCCAGGAGCCAGGAGAGACTCTGTTTTTGGCATGTGGCCCAGAATGGCTCTCCGTTTCGTTTGGCTCGGCTTGTTTTCCCGTCCAAAGCCAAAAAATGGCAAGGAAAATATATATAGTATCTGAACTATACCACACGGAGGCTGGCTATGCATAAATTTTACGTACAATTTATTTTACTTCCCCTTTGATGGCTGGCCCGTGTGTCTCTCATATTTTTTTCGGACACTTTGTGGCACACTAATAGCAAAGGTGCAACAAAATCTGTTGGCCACTTGTAAACTCTATCGTTCCGAATTTGTAATCTTCTCAGAACAATCTACAATCTTTCGATATGCCATCTGTTATCACCTTAAAATTTATGGCAGCTTTTAGCCTCACATTCTGCGCTTTTCAACACCAAAGATTGATCAGATTTATTGACTCTGGCCATAGGCTAAGTGCTCGGTTAGGAGACTTTTTAAAAATTGTTTAATATCGCATAAATAATGTGTGCTGGAATTTGAATAAGTGTGGAGGCAATGGAAATCGGCACAAGAACTTTGATGGCGGTGAAAGACAAATATCGCTTGCATTTTTTATGGGCTCCTGTCGACCGGTTTTGGCATTGTCAGCAATGTGAGTGCGTGTGTAAAACAACTGCACTCAAATGACAATTCGAACAACGACAGAAAGTCCAACAATAACAGCTCCCAGCAACAACCTAAATGCCAGGAACAAAAACAACAAGAACATAAAAAAAGGACCATCGTGCACAAAGCGAAATCGAAAACAATTGAAATCGACAGCAAGGGGTAAAAGGGATGTAGTTCAGGGGGAAGGGTGCAACAGAAGGCACATTAAAATGCGCGAATACACCGGGGAAAATATTTTACAAATGTTTTGAAATGATATTTATACCTTTGTAGGTTCCTATCATTTTACACAAAAGCTTGCCAAGCAGTCATTTCCGACCGTATAAAGCATATATATTCTTCATCAGCATCAAAAGCCAAGTCGATCTAGACATCTCCGGCAGATAAAAAAAGATTTTTTCAAAATTTTGTTCAAGTTTTTTTACATTGTTAAAATTATCAAAAATTTCATTTTTTACAATTTTTATTGATAATGCAGAATTGTTAAACTAATAAAAACGAACATTAGAAAGCTTTCCGATTTAAAATTAATGCATTTTTGGCTAAGTTGTGACAGATTTAGTATTCTGCTATTTGATACAATTTGCTGAAAAGCTGAAAATTCGGGTACCTAGCATAGCCTAGCTTCTTTTCTTGTTTTCTTGTTAAAATAAATGAAACTAAAATGTTTCAAAACATTCAAGACGTTCTCTAATTTTAATAAAGTTTACCAACTAAATGTAAATAGCTGTTGAATATTTTTTAAAACTTATTTATTTAAATAAAAGAGAAGAACAGAACACAAGGATTACTTGTTTCTGTATTTCTTATAAATTATTCGTTTGTTTCTATTCAAAATTTTAACTTATATTTAAATTAAAGTAAAATGAAATTTATTTTTCTATTTTCTAATGTTCTACAAACTGAAAATTCTTTCAGTGCACACCCCACACACAGCACTTAACTGCACTTAGGTGCGACAGCCAGATGAGTGTCGAACGGCATTGCACGGCTGGCATTGTTTTGCCTGGCACACTGAAAGTCATTTTCACTTAAAGCTTAAAAAAAATAAGAGGAAGGAGAAAACCGCCTGGCATTTTAGAGACCACACTGCGTATACGCAACGCCAGCCTTTGTCTCCTTTCTGTGGGGTTTTTCTTTCTCTCTCTTTTTGGTGCGGTTTTCAGGGGCTTTAGTGTAGGCCCATTAATAAAATTGCAATTAATGTCACAATTAGCAATCAACATAAATTAAATGCTTGCAAGAACTAAAAAAATGTACTACAAAAGAAAAAAGTGAAAAATGTGAAAACATTTTGAATAATGCAAAGCTATTTAAATTAATTCCCATAATTGAATTATGAGATTTAGGAATGCAAATTTTTCGCACTTAAACATTCTGTTTTGTTTGCCTTAATTGGTGCGGCGATTGTTCTGAGTCAACATTGGAGTTGTCAGAGAATTTTTGGATAAATACCCAAATTAAGCGTTAAACAATTGTGATAATTACATGAAAACATTTTAAATTACGAAATATTTTGTTGTTTTTTCTATTTAAAATTATTATTCTTATATATACTTTTGTAAAGAGCCCCCATAGGCCGCCAATTCGCTTGTGAAATTGAATTATTTATCGCGGCAAAATGCGTAAATTAGAATTTGCATTTCTGTCAACATCTATTTCGGCGCCATGCATTATATGCCATAAGCCAATTTAATGCCTGATTAACTCGGCAAATTGCAGTCCAAATGTAGATCGGATAGACCGGGGGGCCTAAAGGGTGCTTTGGTTTAAAATTGCAATTCTGTTTGCGGTTTGCGGATGGTTCGGAATAAATATTTGAGTGCCTTTCTTTTGTGCGGGCATTACAGCTGTCGATTCATGCAAACAAATGTTTATTTATGCGTAACTTTAGCCCCATAATTATTCTAGCCGAAATGGCAACTAAATTACACTTAAACACAAATGAATTTCGCAATCAAAGCTTCTAAGCTTCAAATCAATAAAAATTATTTACGACCCTTCCACATGATAAACACGTGAAGAAGAATGCATTGTTGCAGAAATAGAATGAGTGTATATATCGCGCGATTGGAATTTTTGTGCTGATATTTATAGATATTTTTGCAGCAATTATCGTGACCATTAGACTGCAGGATGAATCACAAAAATGTTGGACGCTCGCTTGTTGGCCTGCATATTAATTAATAAAGTAAAAAAGCCATAAATGTAAAACTCATAACGACAAATGTTGGACCATAAATATGCACTTAGGTATTTATGCGCATTGACAGCATGAATATTTATGAGGCAGCGATGGCGGCCATTAAAATGTTGCCCCCCTCCGTTGATTAATTGGAAAAGTTGGCTCTTCGGTTCAACGGGTCGTATGCTTGATGACGATGTTATTTCCTTCCTTCCTTCCTGCCTCTCCACTCCCCCCTCTCCCAAAACTAAGCAAATCCAATGCCTGTGTTCAGGTTTAGAAGAACAAAGTTGAACAAAGGAACTTATTTGTTTGCCATTAGATAAGCCATGCGACCATTTAAGTTCAAGAGACGAGGAAAAATATATATTACAATGACTGAAATGTTTAATGAA